AATAACCATTTGAACACTATAATATGTGAATCACCCAGATACAACTCGTAGCCCCGAATTGAAATATGCCTGTAGTATGTAGCCATGCTCTCATAATTTTCTTAGAACGGAACAGGCTAGGTGAGACTATGTTGCTGACGATTCATGCATTTCTAGCCACAAAGTTGACCCCTTTGTCTATTATCTTTCTGTACCTAGGATCCCTATATAAAATGGAAAGATATCTAGAAACAAGTAGATGTCTTGAACTTTTGGACTTTAAAGTGTGGAGAACACAGAGGGTGATGTGTTATAATAAAATTCACCCCTCCTTTCCTGTCATTTATGTGAGTGGCTTCCCAAGAGACCTGTTCTTGAGATGCCTCGTGTAAGCATATTCACTTTTGATCGCTAACTTGTTGTACACACGTTTCACAAATCTAGAATCCATCTGAGATGCCTCTATCAAAGTTGGCCCGAATGGACCAATTGCGTTTCGCGCTAATAAACTGGCTTCTGATTGTCTTCGATCACATGTGGAGGGTGGCAGCTTGACGCATTCAAAAGTGAATTTTTAGACATTGTTTTTCTATATGAACGCAGGATGATGTTACTGGGAAATCCAACCTGGGTGATGTCCAAGTTATTAACCATATATTGTGCAAAATTATTGACATCGGAAATGGTGGAAAATTTCTGGTCTCAGAGTGCCACCTGATGGCCAAGTTAAGCTGGTGCTTATACAGAAAATTAATCAATCAATAATTTGATCTTCCAATAAGTAAATAATACCAGCTACACCCTCTTGGCAGGTTTTTTATAGAGGTATTGTTTTCAATATATAGTAAGCTCAGGGAGACAGAGGATAGACATTCAAGATCAAAGATATATATTCAAGAGGACATCATCTCATCCATCATCAGATATCCCAAGACACACATCTTCCATCTTGGCTAGACTCCATTTTGAGAAGACAATCTCAACATTAGGCTCAGCAAATCTCCACCCTTTGATCGTCAGCCATCTTTGAGGGCTTGGTCAGCAGCCATTCCAAGGTCTATCTGTTCTACCCAGTGATTCACTATGTTTGCTTTTGAAGGGTAACTATAGTTTGATCAAATTGATGTTTTTGTTAGTTTCCCGTTTTACAATAGTTTTACCAAGTAATTTGCTACCCCCCTCATGATATCCTAGCCCCTAATGACTAGGTTATTTTTAGTTTAGCTGTATTGACATAATTTTAAAACAGACTTCACTCTTTGATCCAGCTGCAGTAGACCAAAGGATATAACTGGTCAAATGTAGATTGTCTGCCAAAGTTAACAAAACTAGTTAGGGTACCAGCAGGATGGAAATAATTGTTCACTCTAATAGTATACAGATGTGATAACAGATAATTATAATTTAGAAATTCATTGCGACATATCCCAATTTCACTTATTTATGTTGTTTGTAAAGTGACTTCTGTCAAAATGTTACATTATTTTTACAGCTCGAAGTCCCTTCTTTTACCCAATTTTATTGTGTTTAACCATTTCCATACCGGGCACTTTTACCCCCTTCCTGCCCAGGCCATTTTTCAGGTCTCAGCGCTCTCACACTTTGAATGACAATTGCGTGGGTCATACAACATTGTACCCAAACTAAAATTTTAGCATTTTCTTCACACAACTAGAGCTTTCTTTTGGTGGTATTTAATCACCACTGGGGTTTTTATTTTTTGCTAAGTTAACAAAAAAAGACCGAAAATTTTGAAGAAAAAAAAAAACACGTTTTTCTTTGTTTCTGTTATAAAAGTTTGCAAATAAATAATTGTTCTTCATAAATTTAGGTCGAGATGTATTCTGCTACATGTCTTTGGTCAAAATAACCCAAATTAGGATGTATTTTTTTAGTCTGTAGGAAAGTTAGAGTTCACAAACTATGGGATATATCTGAATATTGATCAATGCTGAAGTACTGACAGCCAATCTAATTTCTTGAGGTCCAAGAATGTCAGAACAGTACAGATATCCCCCAAATGACCAAATTTTGCAAAGTAGACAGTCCGACGTACTTCATAAGAGGCATGACAAGTTTTTTGAAGTTGTATTTTTTTTGTCAGAATTTTTCGGAAAATGAAAAAATTCAAAAAATTATTTTCACTATTTTTTTTTTACATACTGTCATCAGTGCAGTACAGCGTCATCATATAACTGCCATGGCGGCGATCAGGGACACTGACTGGTGACAGTATGAAAAGAAAAAAAATTCTTTTTATTTTGTTTAATTTTTTATTACTTTTTTTTAAGATTTTTTTTCATATTTCACTATGACCAAAGTAGTACAAATGTTACCATAGTAACATTGTACTACTTTGGGGAAGTGATCAGTTTTTTTTTTTTTTTTTTTACACAATTTGCTTATAGCAAAGAATTACTTTGCTATAAGCAAGCATTTACCTGAATGACATCGATTCATTCAGGTCTTTTTTTTTTTTTTGTGCTTAGCTGTGATTTGGCCACAGCGAATCACATGACACAGCTGGGCTGTAATTGGCCCAGCTTGTGCATGTGATCGCTGTGACCATTCACAGCTAGGCACACTAGTATAGATGGCATGAATGAAGCTATCCATTGTATACAACTGTCATGTGACCTGCTGTAATTGGTCACAGCAGGTCACATGGTACCGGCAACGGGGCCGGTACTCAGATCGGTCATCGGCCGTGTCCGAGGTACACGGCCGGTGACAGATCACGCCGCTGCACGGCTCTGCAGGCGCGCAAACTGCTTGTGTCCGGGAGGACGCCATATGGCAGGCATTTTTGAAAGGTCATGCTTGCGAGAATTGCAGGTGAATTCTTAATTTTTTAAAAATAGTTAGTGGCATCCTAAATGCCTCCTGCATATTCGTGTTTTTGCACAGCAAAATATGCCACAAACGCGCCAAAACGCCAATCAAGATGTTTTTTGGCAAATGTGAGATCAGCCTTTGTGTTCTTTTTTGGTCAACAGTAGCTTTTGCTTTGGAACTCTCCCATGGATGCCATTTTTGCCCAGCCTCTTTCTTATTGTTGAATTAACCTTAACTGAGGCAAATGAGGCCTGGAGTTCTGTAGATGTTGTTCTGGGTTATTTTATGACCTCCTGGATATGTTGTTGTTGTACTCTTATTGGTAGGCTGGCCACTCCTGGGAAGGTCCACCACTGTTCCAAGTTTTCTCCATTTGTGGATAATGGCTCTCACCATGGTTCAATGGAAACCCAAATCCTTAGAAATAGCTTTGTAACCCTTTCCAGACTGAAACATGCCAATCACTTTCTCATCTCATCTTTCTTGAATTTCTTTAGAATTTTCTTTTATTCAACAGGTCTGGCAGTATTCGGGCCTGGGCATGGCAAGGAAAGGGGGGGGGGGGGGGGGATTTTTTTTTCCACATAGGGCCATGCAGGTTTGAGCAGCTTTTACCCTTAATAAATGAAGGCATCACTTAAAAACTGCATTTTTTTGTACCTACTCGGGCTTTGTGTAATATTAAAATTTGTTTGATGAGTTGAAACATTTAAGTGTGACAAATATGCAAAAAGAAGGAAAAAAAAAAATCAGGAAAGGGGCAAATATTTTTTTACAGCACTGGATAAATATATTTATTTTGTAACAATGGTATTTTATGATCTTTTAATATGTTGTAAATAAAAAGGTTTTTACACATCATGCAAAGATTTTTGCCTGTACAAGTTCTATTTAGATAGGGAAGGTTAGGTCAGTGGTCGGCAAGCCGCGGCTCGCGAGCCACATGCGGCTCTTTGCACACTTTAATGCGGCTCTTCTGTGTGCCGGGCGCCCGCTCCCCTCCCTCCTCTCGGGCGGCCGCCCCAAAAGTCAGGACTCTGCAGCTAGCCCAGCAATGGGCAAACTACGGCCCGGCGGACCTTTTAATCCGGCCCGCGGAGCGTGGCAAACATTGGCTGTCAGGATGTAGGCGGGGCAGCGTGACGAACTCCTCTCCTCTCACAGTCCGCCCTGAAGACCGGAACGGCGCGGGAACACGGCGAGAGGAACGTGCGGAGCAAAGGTAAGTGAATTGACACAATATGGGGAATGAATTACTATAGGGGGGATGAATTACTATATGGGAGATGAATTACTATATGGGGGGTTAATTACTATATGGGGGATGAATTACTATATGGGGGATGAATTACTATGGGGGATGAATTACTATATGGGGGATGTATTTTCAGTTTTAAAAATGTGGCTCTCAAAATAAATTTCAATCGTGGTTTTGGCGAGATTTGGCTCAGTTGAAAAAAAAAGGTTGCCCACCACTGGGTTAGTAGTCTGATTTCAGAGAGGTCAAGGGCAGGAGTGTGGGCAATACCGCTGGTATAGTTTTAAATAGGTTGGGGAAGTTGTGCTTTTTTGTACATTTTTGGATCAAACTGTTTGAAACTTGTGTATCTAATAAATCTTGATATTTGGGTAGGGTATGTTGCCCTGTGCTGTTTTTTCTATATAAAATTCTTATTTGTATACATGATTTATTCTTATTTGTATACATTTACACATTTAGTAGGGCACATGCCCAGATAGTTTTCAGATTAGAACCCCCATCTATCGGATATGGAAGATATTTTTATTATTATTAATCTAATGGAGAAATTACCCATGGAAAATTACACTTACATCCCTCTCTTCTTGTATAGGTGTTAAAGGAAATGGTGGGGGGGATCTCAATTGGGTCAAAAAAATAAATAAAATCTGAGTTCTGAGAATGAAAATCTTTAGGGGGAAAAAAAAAAAAGAAACCTTAATTGTAAATTTATTTTATTCAACAAACTGTGTGATATATATGATGTTTATATATGAGGTGCAAAGCTCACACTAGCTTGTGTCATATTACTAGTGATCATATTCCACCTGTTCAGTGTAATTGCCACTTAGCCCAAAATAGATCAGCCACAGGGACTTGGAACGAACACACACACATCATAATTATTTATTTATTTTTTTAACTTACTGGAATGTCCAGTTTCTGTCCGCACAATATGGAAGAACTTGCACACTCTCCTATTCTGCAGGAGCGCCTGGGACGGGGATGAAAATATTTGCCTAAAAGAAGAAAGTAAAAAAAGAATTTTGACTTCTTGCATGTATAATTCCTATCTTGGAATACAGTACAAAACAAGGTTTTACATTCAGAGACCATGGGTCTATGCAAGTAATCTTGGACAAAAAAATATCAAAAACCTCTTACTGGCCACTTTTAATGCATGTTTATATAACCACATCCACCCTGTGAAACTCAAGTTTTTTATGCAAGGAGTGACAAGAGAACACAAAGGGGATAGGCATGTGCCCAGTACAGTACACCAAGTTAAGGAATTTATAGGTAAGTCAAAATTTCTATTATCTTAATCGTACAGGACACAGGGATTATACTCAGATCATAGAACATTCAAATTCAGTAAACTGAGGGGTAGGCAACCATAAAGCAGACAGAACCATCATTCCTACAAAAAACAAAGGTTAAGGAACCTGAAAACCTTCAGGTGTGAGGACAACTTGAAGTACCTTGCCCCAAAAGCTCACACCAGTTGAGGCCTGAACATCGACCTGGTAAAACTTGGAAAACAAGTGAACAGAGGACTAGGTGGTGCTTGATCCTGAAAAGTGTAAGAGACACCAAAAGACCTTTTGGAAAATACACTGCATCTGAGCTCCAAAAACCCTATTTAATTCATTTTTAATATTAAAAGCAAACTCACACATTCATCTCTCTACATGCTTTATTTTGCTGAGAAATCACTCTGAAAAGCACTCCCTAGCATTTCTAGCCTTGGCCACCTTTAGTAAGGGCAGATGATTCATGTAGCATTTACTTCCTGGAATATGTCTGCCCCCAGCTCAGCCATGCAAGCAGGAGGGTGTACTTAGCTGAGAAAACCCCTCCTCCCCTTCTGAAGTCTCCTGGGATGTATGACATCACTTGTCTAGGCATGGGACCCAGGAAGTAATGGAAGAAATGTAAAAAAAAAAAAAAAAAAAAAAAAAAAAAAAGAGGTTTAAAACAATATACCTTCCTATCTATTTGCTAATGCTAACAGCATAAGGATTAAAAAAGCCAATGTTGACAGAGAGAAAAGCTTTCTTTAAGGACATAGATCCTGGAGATAAGTTGCCCGATTCACCTGGCAATGGAGGAGTGGGAGGAGGCACGATGTCCTCTACAAGAGCCTGCATTGAAGACAAAAATGAACAGAAGTTGTGGCAGCCAGGTAAATTTATCTACCACCTTGAAGAGAAAAGGAGGTCTTGGTCTCAAGACTACCTTGTCGCTGTGCAATACAAGAAAAAACTCTTTACAAGAATGGGCTAACAGCTTAAAAACACACCTAACAGACAAGAACTCTCAAAGGAATATCTTTAATAGATTTAAAAGGTTGTCTCTACGGTGCAGAGAGCACAGTGTTGAGGATACTAAGGCAATACAGGGGGTCGACAAGGGGGATTTATATGAGCAAACACCCTTAAGAAAATCTTGATTGAAGGTTGCAAAGCAAGAGATATCTGCAAGAGAACGGATAAGGCAGAAACCTTAAAGGGTACTCAGGGCAAGATGTTGGTCAGGACAAGATAGATAGGATTCTGACAGAAGGATGGCAGTACCCTTCATGAGATCTATGGTAGCTGCCACCTGTGGCAAAAATAGGGGATCTGTCTTGAGTATGAGCCTGTCTGCAAAAACTGTTAGAAAAGGCTCTTTAATGTATAAGGCCTGCAAGCTCACTGACTCTCCTGGCTGAAGTGATGGCCACTAAGAAGGCTACTCTGAACGTCAAAAACTTCACTAATGTTTCTTCCAATTTCTTAAAATGGCCTCAAAGAACCTCTTAAACCATAGCATTTTTGCTCAAAAGAAAGTTGAGAAAAACCACCAATGCAGCGGAATGGAATTTGAGAATACTTACTGAAAGTCCTGCCTCCGCTGTGCCCTGTAAAAAATCTAGAACAGTAGCCAGCTGCCTGGAGTTTTTGTTTTCCAGAGTTATTACTGCAAAGTATTTCTTCTAGATTTTAGTGTAAAATTTTTCTAGTTACCGGTTTTCTACTCTTTAGCAGGGTATCAACTACCGGAGTATAGAAGCCTTTGCTTAACCACTTGCTCCCCGTCCTCTAGCAGAAATACTGCTACAGGGCGGCAGGGCTGCGAAAAAAGATGTATATATACCTGATTTGCATTTCCAGGTAGGGGGCGCACGCCACCATTGGCTGCTACAGATGTCAATCACCAGGTAACGGCCGGAGATTCTCCGCCGGCACCCAACGATCCCCAAGTAACACTGACAGGGGAGAGACCTGTGTATAAACGCAGGTCTCTTTCCTGCCAGCAAGAACATGCTGCTGTGTATTTCTCTGCAGAGAAATACACGACAGCATGTTTCCCTAGTAAAATACACACAGAACATTATGTAAAAACACACACAGGACACAGTTAACCCTTTGACTGCCCCAGATGTTAACCCCTTCCTGCCCAATGTTATTAGCACAGTGTCCGTGTTTTTTTATTAGCACTGATCACTGTATTAGTGTCCTTGGGATGTCAGTGGCAGTTAGTTCCCACCCAGTGTCAGAATGCCCGCCGCAGTCCCCCAGTCCCGCTATAAGTCACTGATAGCCGCCATTACTAGCATAAAAAAATAAAAATAAATACAAATTCCAGTATATATCTATATCTATCTACATACATAAACACACACACATACATATATATATATATATATATACACATATACACACACACATATGTAACGCCGGACCAACGCTTGCCAAACACTATAGGGGCATTTGGCAAGCATTGGTAAAAAAGCCAAGTGTGAACGAGCCCTAACAGCAGGTAGTCATCACGTCTCCATACCATAGATCATGTTCGGGGAATCAAAAAAGGAAATCATGGTGCAGTACGTTTAAAACCAAAATGTTTTATTAAAATGTCAGAAACGCACTCACAAACAGGGTGTCTAGCCGACATCAGCAATGACAGCCTCAAGAAAGCAGGGACGAGCCTCGCTCACCGCGATATCACAGCCAACAGTCTACGAGGAGCATCCAGACGTCACATCCAAAAGAAGCCCCGCTTCATGGCAGGCAAGGCTTAGTCCTCCACCATTCCCATGGCTTGGAGATAGGGGTAATGTCACCCTGCAAGCTGCCTGCCCCCCCCCCAATATGACTTCCGGTGCTGGACCTTGCCCTCTATAATGATAGCGGGCGCCCGGCACTCCCGGTGTCAGCGCAGTCTTTCCATCTTTGCCACGTCCTTTCCAGCAGCCCTTACCTTGCCAATTGCAAGATGGCCGCTGTACATTCCCCTCTTTCGGGTCTGATGCGATCTTGCCCGATATCCACTCTGCCCTTATCAGCCATCTTAGAACGATGACCACAGTAGAAGAAAGAAGAGGAAAAGTCTGCAACACAAGACAGACTCCAGAACCTCCAGGTTTGTCTGCGTGAGTCAGCGGAGGGGATGCGGTGGGACAGTATAGCAAGCTCAGGACCTCCTGGCCGGCAACCAGGTTAGTCCCCTCCACGCTTTGCAAAGCCTCCCGACCTGAGCTGCAGAAAACATTCATTCCCATTAAAGGGCATACAACCTGGAAACAGAAAAGAGCCCACAGAGGGAACCCTCCAGAAATTCCTTTATGTTCTCTCCACCCCGTGTCCCTGCAGCAGATCCCCTAGTCCCCCTTCCACAGCCAGGAGGTGGAAGGTATTCATACCCTAACAAAATAACGAACTGTAGCTGCTGTGCTTGCAACTGCAGGATGCAGAAACGCAAACATTTAGGGGGCAGCCTCTTGGGTGGCCTTTTAAACCTGTGCTTGTGTTTCCTGTAGGAGGTGGAGCCTATCTTTCATGTGACTGTCCTGGAGGATGACTTGGGAAATCCCCCTTGTCTGAGAGAAGCAATGACAGATCTTGCCAGTTCCATAAGGAATTTTGGTACACAAAGAAACTTGTTCAGAGATTTTTCAGCTCAATATGGGGTGTGTGGCCCCATTTGTTCTGGGGACTGTGAATAGGTCAAAAAAAAAAAAAAAAAACTTGAAACCTTTCCATTGAAGGAACAGGTACAACCACTCCCTGTGACTGAAGTTGGTGTAAGGCATCAAGTAAACCTGCTTGTTTTTGAGCTGATACTAACAGTTAAGAGGGTAAAAGCACCATACACGGGCCGACTATCGGGCGGTAATGGCCAGTTCAACAGAAACTGGCCAACATTTGGCCTGTGTGTACGGCAGTCGATTGGACAGAGGCCGGACGTTTGTCCAGCTTGTCAAAGGGGCATGACCGAAAAAGTTCTGCCGATCTGCCTGTTCTAGTGGGGGGCAATCCCCGTCAGAACACAATAGCATAGCAGGGGAGATCGCTGTACTAACAATGTCTTAGTCAGTTTTTTTTTCGTTCAGCCCCCTAGGTTAAATGAAAAAAAAAAAAAAATTACAGTGTGTACGGGGTATAAGAAGCAAGGAGGGAGCAGAGATAAAATTTGATTTTGTTCCCCTTTGAATGAACCTCTGGCTCCAATGGCAGATTGGAGCCAGAGGTTCAAGATGTCTCCGATTCAGAATGCTGCAAAAGACAATAAACGTCCTCCCAGTCTTAGGAGTGGGGGGAGTCCCTTCAGTGTGACAAGGGATTCTGCTTAGGCTTGGTTGACTTAGGGGGTCCAATGTTTCCAAAGAAAGAAAGTACTGAGTCTAGGGTTTGTTGCTGAAGAGAGCGAAAAGACACCTTTTGCAGAGTAGAGGTGGTAGGTTGTACACTTAAGCGTTTTCTATTTTTGATGAATTTATCAAGGGATTCCCCAAATACTCATTCACCATCAAAGGGCATCTTTTACAAGTTGACTCAGCAGACCAAGTTTTGAGCACAAAATCCTACACATAGGCACACAGATCAGAGATATACTAGAGCCCGGGTGTCAAACACACGGCACATGAGCTATTGGACACCACTGACACCAATGTTGAGAGTTATTATTGCACTCACTGACAACAATGCTGGAGGTTATTATTGCACTCACAACAATGCTGGGGGTTTCAGAAGTC